GTGATTTAACCGTAACTATACAAGTAAGAAAGTATAGAAGGGCACGAAAAATAGAAAGACATAAAATCTGCCTCCTTGGAATAAGAGTAGAATAATGACAAGAGGATCGTGGAGGATGGTGACAATACGATGCCAAGAGGGTGGTGACAAGAGAATAGTGGGGCCCATGTGATTATATCATATGGAAAAATGGTGAAATTCAAATATATTGCATGATTTTTTTTACTGTATTTTTCCAACCTCCACCAATTTCTACTTTATGTTTGCCGTGTGTGGTCCACTGCATTATTGACCAAGAAAAATATCAGTCGTCTCACCACTCACCAGTCATGAAGTAATCTTAACAGCCTTTGCCAAGAACAATTTTCAGTTTCCCAACTTCAAATACTTGATCCAAATTAGTCCTTCGGCCACGAAGAGAGAAAAATGAATGATAATTATATTTTGATTGTGAGTTCCAATAACAACACCTCATTATTATTGTAGGGAAAAGTAGATATCCAATTCTAATAGTTTACCATGTGATGCATGTCGTCGAAATTAATCTATATCTTGTTTTACACGAGTCGCTCATGCTCGTTTGAAAGCAGATGTCTATAAAACAAATGTCTATGAAAGAAAATCTCTCATGCTCGATCGATTTCGACTAACTGGGGCTACATGGGTAAATTTTCAATAATTCAGATGTCTATGAAAGCATAAGCTATTAATTTGAGTTGTAATTATTGAATTCTCATTTGCATGTTTCATTTTATTGGGGGATATGGGGATCTACTCGATTTCTCTCTGCAGTGGAATTGAAAATTAGGATTTTGATGCGGTTTTGTTATTTTTGTGGTTAATTTAAAGGTATTATCTAATTTTATTTTTGATGAAATTAGGATAATGAGAATTGGCAATTTTAACTAAATCACAAAATAAATCAGCTATAAATTAGTATTGGGGAAGAGGTTATATTATCTAGGCTCAATACTCTAGTGCTAGATTTTGTGGAGTATATATGTTTTCGAGACCTTTGCTTCCATGAACATTTGTACTTATGCATTTTTATTTATTCTTTTCCATTGTTTTGTTACAAATTTGCATTTAAACATATCACATCTAATTATTTAAGAAATGAGTTTTTTAACAAACGATAAGATAATTTATATTAAACTCATCTAAATTGCAAAGTTAAGAATGAAGGTTCAAATTTAGATGTAAAAGAGGGAGCGCACTGTTAATCTAAATTAAAGAACGATAAACGTATACTTTTGTTTAATTATGTGACATTAAATTCGATAATTTGACAATATAAATATGCAGCTCGAGTGTGTTCTTAATTAGTTTTGTGCAAAAACATGTTAACCTGACTTAAAATTGGTTAACGCAAGAAAGTATAGGCAAAGCAGAATGGTCCCATGAATGTTGAACATATAGGCAAACCAAATCCTAAACACGAATGGTCCCATAAATGTTGAAAATATAGGCAAAGCAAGAAAAAGTAAGAAACTTTTCAATTTCTTTTTTTTTTTCCATAGCACGTGGTAATGAGTGTTGTAGAAAATAAGCGGTTGAGATTAAAAGTAAAAAATGTAAATAATAAATGTAGAAATTGAACCCAACATTAAGGTCCTGCCCGAAACTTTTACTTTATTTTTCACACGAAGATGTTCCCCTTGGAATTAGAACCAGATTAGAAATAATGACAAGATGGTGACAAGACGATGCCATGTGACAAGACGATGGTGGGGACATGGAATCATATCATATGGAAAATGACAAGGATTGTTTGCACTTTCATTTTCCATGCCCGCCTTTTTGTTTTATGTGATCACGGTTAAGCCACGTTAACATTTTATATTCTTTATTTTATAGAGATAATAAGATAAAAATAAATAATAATATAAAATATTGACGTGGCTTAACCGTGACCACACAAACAAACAGGAGGGCATAGAAGGGCATGAAAAGTGGAAGGGCAGACAATCCTTATCCTATGGAAAAATGTTGAGATCCAAATGTATTATTGCGTGGTTCTTTTTAGAGCAATTCCACACCTAAATACTCTGCGCCAACATCCAGCGCATTTATCTACTCAAGCGAATAGTAATAAACCATAGTGAACAGTAATAGGCTAAAACATCTCCACCCTTAAAAAAATGCACTGGCACCCAGTCTAAAAATGCGATGGCATAAACGATCTTCATCCCTACAAAATGCGCTGTCACCTAGCCCATTTAAAATATTATATATCTTTTTTTTAAAGAATAAAATAAAATTATTTTCAAATAAGATTTTTAACCAATTTCGGATAAAATTTCAAATAAACTTAAAAAAAACATACTAAAATAAAATTACATACTCATCAAATAAACTTAAAAAAACACACACTAAAAAAAATTACATAAACTCATCAAATAAACTAAAAAAAAAAACACATTAAAATGAAATTACATTAAACTCATCAAATACACTTTATTCTTCAACCACAAGCTTATTTTAATTATCTTCACCTTCTTGCAATCTCCACTAGTGCTCAATCAAGTCATTATGGCGGGTTACGTGCCAATATAGCTCTTGCACATCAGTGTACCGCTAAACGATCAATTCATTAAGGATGAGCTTTTTGGTTTTTTTTTTTCACACAAAAAGTATATGAAAGCTTTGGTAGAAAGTGTAGAAAATATTGAAATGTGGTGTAAGGTAGAAGATGAGAGTTAGGTATTTATAGAAAAAAAAAAAAACTTTTTTAAAACTTTTCTATATTTTTTAATAATTTTTCTGTATTTTTTCATAATTTTTAATAAATTTTAATATAGATAATTAATCTGGACCGTTGGATTTGAAAAATATTCAAATCCAGGAGCCAAGGCGTTGCCACGTGGCCAACGGTCATAATTCTGACCGTTGGGCCTTTTTTTAATTATTTTTATTTTTATTTTTTGTGAAAAAAATGTGGACCGTTGATCTGTGATCAGATGGTTCATTTTAAAAGTCAAATTTAAATTTTTTTTACCGTTGGAAATCCAACGGTCTACAAAAACTAGCCGTTGGAAATCCAACGACACTGAGGAGGGCCACGTAGCTCTAATTCGGGTGAACACAAGTGGGCTGATAAGCGGGCCCCACCGTATGCACCCTTGTCTCCTACTCACGCACAGTCGCGAGTGTGCTGCACGCGCCAGCCAAATAAGTAGCGGATCCTCCTGATCAACACATGCGGATCGCTGGATTTTTATTTAACGGCTACAAATAGAAATGTCCATTTAAATGTTATAATAATTATAACCGTTATACCAAGTGTAACAAGACTGATAGATTTTAGGCCTCCTGATGTGTGGAGAGATTTATCAATGTGTTAGGAACACGGTTTGTTATACCAAGTGTAACAAGACAATTGGATTAGAAACTTGAAGAAACAAAATTTTCAACCAATTATATTATTATACTTGATATACCGGATAATGTTTTAGGTACACTAAAAATTTTATCCCATAATCAAATTCATGATGTAAAGTGCATTGCTGATGCAAACCAAATCCCAAACTTGAATGGTTCCATGCATGTTGAATACATAGACAGATTGGCAGAGCAAGAAAAAGTACAAACTTTTCAATTTTTCTTCAAAAAGCATATAGTACGTGTTACAGAAAATAAATAATCAGAATAGAAAATAGGCTAAATAGCCAAAATGGTCCTTGAGATTTGCATAACTCATCACTTTGGTCCCTAACATTTCAAATCAATAAAAGTGGTCCATGAGATTGTCCACTATCCATCATTTTGATCATTCTGTTAAAAACTCCGTTAAGTGTCCTAAAACTCTTGGCCAGAAGTTTGAGCAATTTTCAAAGCTTTGTAACTCAATTGTTTCTTAATCAAATTCGACCCATAATATATCAACATAAAGATAAGAAAGTGTACAATAAGATTATACCTATTTGGAAGCCCAATGGCTGCCGGAGATGGCCGGAAAATAGCCTCAAAGTTGACTGGTTTGAGGAAAAACTGGAAAACTCGCCAGAAACTGGATAAACTTTAAACGTTCATAACTTCTTCAATACTCAACGAAATTACGTGATTCAAAAACAAAAATCATACTTCTCAACGAGACAAATAGAATGGTATATTTTTAGACGGCTAAATCGCCGTGGTTTGGCTGGAAAACGGCTCGAAGATGGCTAACTTGAGACCAAGATAGCTATTTTTGAGCCTTTTCCGACCAAACCACGACTATTTAGCCATCTAAAAAAGGTAGCATTCTCTTCGTCTCATTAAGAAGTATGATTTTCTTTTTTGAATCACTTGATTTCGTTGAGTATTGAAGAAGTTATGAACGATTTACCAGTTTCTGGCGAGTTTTCAAGTTTTCCCTTAGACCAGGCAACTTTGAGGCTATTTTCTGGCCATCTACGGCAACCATTGGGCTTCCAAATAGGTACAATCTTAGTCTACACTTTACGATCTTCATTTTGATATATTGTGAGTCGAATTTGGTTAAGAAATGATTGAGTTACGAAGCTTTGAAACTTGCTCAAATTTCCGGCCAAGTGCTCTGAAACACTTAATTGAATTTTTAACAGAATGGCTAAAATGATGGATGATGGACAATCTCAGGGAACACTTTTATTGATTTGACCGTTACACGAGGTGATACATCATGTGTCCTTATATAAATGGTGGGTTATGTGTGTTAAATTGTTAATAACTTAAAAATTAAAAATTTTTACTTCTTGTATAAAAACATGTGGTGTATATTCGTATTCCGGTCACAACTAAAAATTTATTCCACAAGGGGAAGAAAGTAATAAATAAATTAATGGTTGATGTAATGTTTTCCAACCTCCACCAATTTTCATGACCAGCAACGATTTTTTTCATGGAAGAAAATAATTAATAAATTAATGTTGGATGGTAACGTTTTCCAACCTCCACCAATTTCTACTTCATGTTTGCCGCGTGTGGTCCACTGCATTATTGACCAAGAAAAAGATCAAGTCGTCTCACCAGTCATGAAGTAATCTTACAGGCTTTTCCAAGAATAATTTTCAGTTTCTCAACTCCAAATACTTGATCAAAATTACTCCTTTTGCTAAGAAGAGAAAATGGCTTTCGTTGGAGAGGCTTTGCTCTCCGGTTCCATCCAGGTGCTGTGCGACAAGATTGCCTCCGGAGAGTTCATAGACTTCTTCCGGGCAAGAAGACTCGACTATTCACTCCTGGACACACTGAAGATGAAGTTGGTGAATCTCCGTGCAGTGCTCAACGACGCAGAGGAGAAGCAGATTGTCAACCCCGACGTCGGGAAGTGGCTTGATGAGCTCAAACATGCTGTGTTCGAGGCCGAGGACTTGGTGGATGAGATCGATACTGAAGTTTCGCGTCGCAAGGCGAAAGATCAGACTAAGAAAACCCAGGTGTGGAACTTCCTTTCTACCTGTCGTAAACCTTTTAATTATAAAGGCATGAATGGTAGGATAGAAGTTTTATTCAAGAAGTTGGAACACCTTGCAAATCAAAAAGATATCCTCCGTCTTAGAGAAGATGTTGTTGGAGGCAATGTTTCACAAAGAACTCCCACAACTTCTGTTGTTGAGGGCGGATTTTATACCTATGGTAGGGATGGAGATAAAGACAAGTTAAAAGATCTACTGCTGCTATCTGACAATGAAAGTAGCAGTAATTTTTCTGTAGTCCCTATAGTCGGTATGGGCGGGGTTGGTAAGACAACTCTTGCTCAACTCCTTTTCAACGATGAACGAGTTAAAAAGCACTTTGACACTCATGCTTGGGTTTGTGTTTCCGAACAGTATGAGGCTTTGAGGGTGATTAAGGTCCTTATTGAGGAAATCACTAAAAAGCCTTGTGACAATTTGGAAATGAATTCCCTTGAAGTTCAACTAAGGGAACAACTGAGTGGAAAGAGATTTTTACTTGTCTTGGATGACCTTTGGAATGAAAACTATGATGACTGGGAGCGTCTACGAATTCTTTTCACGTATGGGGCAAAGGGAAGCAAAGTCATTGTAACAACAAGGAGCAGACGTGTTGCAGCCATCGTGCACAATACTATTCCTATTCACGATTTAAAAGAATTGTCGGATGAAGACTGTTGGTCGTTACTGGAAAAACATGCATTTAGAAATGAAAACCCCGGTGCACATCCAGACTTGGTTGAAATTGGTAAGCAAATTGCATGTAAGTGCAACGGTTTGCCTCTAGCTGCAAAAACGCTAGGGGGTCTCTTAAGTTGCAACCTAGACTACAAGGAGTGGAATCACATATTGGATAGTAATCTATGGGATCTGCCACACCCTAATAGTCTTCTTCCTTCTCTAAGATTGAGTTACCATTATCTTCCGGCTTACTTGAAACGATGCTTTGCTTATTGCTCAATTTTTCCAAAGGACTATGAGTTTGAAAAGGAAAATGCTATTCTACTATGGGTGGCAGAAGGTTTAATTCCACAATTAGAGAGCAAGAAAGCAATGGAGGAGGTTGGTGAAAGGTACTTTAATGAACTGTTATCGCGTTCACTATTTCAAAGACCAAGATTGGATAAACCAAGTTTCACTATGCATGATCTTATTAATGACTTGGCTATGTTTGTGTCTGGAGAGTTTTGTTTTAGGTTGGATCAAAAAAATTCGCACGAAGTTTCTAAAAAGGTTCGCCACTTGTCATATATGAGAGGAAAATTTGATACATCTCCAATATTTGAGCCATTAAAAGGAGTTAAGTATTTGCGTACCTTCTTTCCAGTGTCTTTACCACCACATTATAGTTGGAATGGTGGATATGTAAGCAATAAGATTCTAGATGATTTATTGCCAGCACAAAAATGTTTACGGGCAATTTCATTATCAAGATATATGAATATCACTCACTTACCTGATTCCATTGGTAACCACATGCACTTGCGCTACATTGATCTCTCTTATACGCCAATTAAAAGGTTACCAGATACAGTGTGTACTCTCTACAATTTACAAACTCTATTGTTGAAAGGTTGTTCTTCTCTTGTTGAATTGCCTGCAGACATGAGGAAATTGATTCATTTGCGTCATCTTGATATCGGTGGAACTAAAATAAAAGAGATGCCGGTGCATATGGGTAGACTAAAAAGTTTGAGAACACTGACAGCTTTTGTGTTGGGGAAATCTACTGGGTCAAGCATTGCAGAGCTGAGGGAGTTGTCGCACCTTGGAGGAAAAATTTCTATCTTGAATCTGCAAAATGTAGTCGGTGCTATTGATGCCTTGCTGAAGGATAAGAAAGATCTCAACGAGGTAGAGTTGTCATGGGGTCGTGTGGTTTCCAATGATTCCGTAAAAGAGAGATATGTGCTCGAAAGACTTCAACCTGCGGTAAATTTGGTGAAGCTAACCATCAGGTTTTATGGCGGAATCAGTTTCCCGAATTGGGTGGGAGACTCGTCCTTCTCCAACTTACAAGTGATGCGTCTCAGCGACTGTGGTAATTGCAGTTCACTGCCACCAGTTGGTCAGCTACCTGCTCTGAAAGAGCTCTACGTAGAAAGGATGAAAGTTGTTAAGAGTGTTGGTGGTGAGTTGTACGGGGGAAATCAACCATTTCAATGTTTAGAGAAGCTAGAGTTTCGGGAGATGCCAGAGTGGGAGGAATGGCAGCCTAGTCCAAGTGGAGGTGAAAGTCCAGACTTTCCTCGTCTTAAGGAGCTGAGGTTAAGTTGGTGTCCGAAGCTGAGAGGAGACCTGCCCACTCATCTTCCTTCCTTGAAAACACTTGATGTGTACAATTGTGAGGTTCTACATGAAAACAGGGCCAGTAATACCCTGAACAGGGATTCCTTACGAGGATCTCTTGAAAAACTGACAATACGGCGATGCCCGGGTCTCTCATTGTTACTAGAGTCGACGGAGACGCTGCCGTCGCTTCAGAAGCTTGGTATTGAATTTGTTGGTGGGAAAGAGTGGTCGGCGCAAATGATGCACAACGCTAATCGTCTTCAAAGTTTGACTTTATATGAATGTTCCTCAGTCTTGTCGTTCCCTACAAATGGTCTGCCCACCACGCTGACGTCACTCCGTATAGTAAATTGCAAGAAATTAGAATTTCTATCAGGTGAGATGATGGCCAAATTGACTTCCCTTCAGTCTTTGCATCTATCCGAGAGCTGTGATTCTCTGAGGTCGTTCCCTTTGGGCATTTTCCCCAGCCTTTCATCTCTTCGTATAATGCGTTGTCAGAATCTGGAATCTCTTTCAGTTGAAGGAGGAGCAGATGAAAATCTCAACTCCCTGGATGTCAGGTACTGTCCAAATCTTGTCTCTTTTCCCGACGGGGGATTGCCCACTCCCAACCTCACTTTCTTTCATGTCTACAACTGCGAGAATTTGAAGTTGTTGCCGGGCCGAATGCACACCCTCACCGCCCTTCAAAGGTTATTGATAGGCAGTCTTCCAAATCTTGTCTCTTTTCCTGACGGAGGATTGCCCACTCCCAACCTGACCTACTTTTCAGTAGACCATTGCGTGAATTTGAAGTTGTTGCCGGACCGAATGCACACCCTCACCGCCCTTCAACATTTGTCGATAGAGTGTCTTCCAAATGTGGTGTCATTTGCACAAGGGGGTTTGCCTCCCAACCTACAAACATTATCTATCGTTAACTGGGATCTGGTGGAGACGTTGCTCAATGAACAACTTCTCCCTGCCACTCTTCGCACTCTCGAAATCTCTGATGTATCGAATCTGAAATCTTTGGACGGAAAGGGATTTGAGCACCTCACTTCTCTTCAACAGCTACAAATTTCAGGCTGCGAGAGTCTCAAATTCCTGCCAAAAGAGGGTTTGCCGGCATCTCTTTCTTATCTGAGGATCCGGGGCTGTCCTTCTCTGAAGAAGAGGTATGGGAACAAGAAGGGAAAAGATTGGAGAAACATAGCTCGCATTCCTTGCATAAACATAGATGATGAAATCACCATCATATGAGCTTTCATTTCACTCTCTCCAACTCTCAACTCTCAAGACAAAAGCCAGGTACTTTTATTTATTATTAAATTGATTGTCCTCAGCAATATTCCAGCTTAAATCAGAGTTTCAGATGAAATTACAGGAGAGTGCGAGGGGAGTGAATTATTTGTAGTCTGATACTGTGGAACTACTTGGAGTCGATATATATGATTCTCCTGCATGAGAAGAGGTAAATCCCTGGATGATTTCTCATACTTCTCCCGTTTGCACCATAACTGTAATCTTCTGGTAGATGTGATGGGACTAACAGATATATCGGTTTAATTGATGCAGCGAGCAAGCAAACCTGTAAAGATGGGATTATCAAATGGTGCTCTGATTTTCTGGACCGTCAATTTTGAAATATTTTGGATGGAAATGGACTTTCAACACCTCCCACTCTCGCAATTCCTTCCAGGACAGGGACCTCTAGACCTCAGCTCTCTTGAACAGCTATATAAAGATTGAATGTATGTGGGACTTCGTCGGTCCAGAGAGAAAACTATTGAACTGTGAAGATAGGATTATCAGAGGGAAAACGATGTTAGCTTACATCAACCACTCAGGTACTTGTGTATATATATACTGCTGCGGTTTCCATATGGCGGAATGCTTACTCATCTTTCAATGCCTCTGTCATCTTGTGGTAGCTGCATACACATATTTTTGTCTACAAACACCATGGATGAAGAGAGCAGGGCTTATTGGCACCAACTCTCTCCAACTCTCTACTCTCCAGACAAAGCCAGGTACGTATTTAGTACCACTTATCTGTATCTATGTTAAATTGATTGTCCTCAAATTTTCCAACAAAATTGATTGTCTTCAAAGTTAATTTGACACTTATCTGTATTTAGCACCACTTAACTGTGTTTGGACGAATGCCAGTACATTGCGTTACTATACAAGGAGGCTGGTTGTTCCACTACAGATTTCACCAGAAGGATGCATCAATCTTCGGTTGAACACTGATGATTTGTAAATTGTAATTTGCCTTTTCTTTTGCTTTCTTCATTTTGCCTTGTCTATATTTGCATTTATAATATCGGGTATTTTTTAACAGGGGAATGGCATATCCCCCTTGGAGAATTTCAGATCAGGGGAAGTGAGGATCTGTTGGAGACATTGATCAAACAACAGCGGCTCTCTTCCTCTCGCACCATCTGGACAATCAAGTTTGAAATCTGTGGATCAAAACACCACGCACTCTCGGAATTCCAGCCTGGAGAAGGACCTCAGCAGCTATGCATCATCGATTGTCTTGCATTCTTGCCAGAAGAGGATTTGCCGCCATCTCTTTCTTTTCCGAGGATCACCAAAAAGTTTGTTCTTCTCTGAACAAGAGGTGTGCAAAGAATATGAATGGAAAAGATTGAGGCAATATAGTTCACATTCCTTGCAACTTTCATTGATGCAAATCAAAGTGGAACTTTGAACTATGAGGAAAGGGGATCGTATAACTTGTAAGGATTGCAAAGTTATACCAGGAGAGAGCGTGGCTAATCAACATCGCTTGTTGGTGATGGATGTACATATCAAAAGAGTAAGACAAAAGAACAAGACTTGGAAGTGCCCAAGGACTAGATGGTGGAATCTAAAAGAAGAAAAACAAGTCATTTTCAAAGAGAAGGTAATCACCCAATGTGTGTGGGATAGAGAGGGGGAAGCTAGCCAAATGTGGGATTCCATGGCTAGTTGTATCCGAAAAGTAGCAAAAGAGGTATTAGGAGAGTCCAAGGGCTTTGCCCCACACCAAAAGGAATCTTGGTGGTGGAATGAGGAGGTACAAACAAAGGTGAAGGCTAAGAAGGAATGTTGTAAAGCCTTATACAAGGAGAGGACCGATGAAAATGGTGAAAGGTATAGAAAAGCGAAGCAAGAGGCGAAGAAAGCTGTCAGAGAAGCTAAGTTAGCGGCTTACGACGATATGTATAAACGACTAGATACCAAAGAAGGAGAGTTGGATATCTATAAACTATCTAGAGCAAGGGAAAAGAAGACAAGGGACCTAAACCAAGTGAGGTGCATCAAGGATGAGGATGGAAAGGTTCTTGCTACAGAGAACGCGGTTAAAGACAGATGGAAAGGTTATTTTCATAATCTTTTCAATGAAGGACATGAAATGAGTGCTTCTTTAGGGGAGTTGAGTAACTCAGAAGAGTGTAGAAACTACTCTTTTTATCGTCGAATCCGGAAGGAAGAAGTGGTTGTTAGCTTTGAAGAAGATGAAGCATAAAAAAGCAATAGGCCCAGACGATATACCAATCGAAGTGTGGAAACTTTTGGGAGAGACAGGTATAACATGGCTCACTGACCTTTTCAATAGGATTTTGAAAACGAAGAAGATGCCAAATGAGTGGCGAACGAGCACTTTGGTGCCTATCTACAAGAATAAGGGCGACGTACAAAATTGCATGAACTATAGGGGTATTAAGCTAATGAGTCATACAATGAAGCTCTGGGAGAGAGTCATTGAGCATAGATTGAGGCAAGAGACACGGGTTTCGGACAACCAATTCGGGTTCATGCCAGGGCGCTCAACCATGGAGGCAATCTATCTCTTACGAAGATTGATGGAAAGATATAGAGATGGGAAAAAGGATTTACACATGGTCTTTATAGATTTGGAAAAAAAGCGTATGATAGGGTCCCAAGAGACATTCTTTGGAGGATTTTAGAGAAGAAAGGAGTACGAGTAGCATATATCCAAGCTATAAAGGATATGTATGAAGGAGCAAAGACTGCCGTAAGAACTCATGAAGGACAAACCGAAAGCTTTCCCATAACTGTAGGATTACATCAAGGCTCATCCTTAAGTCCTTACCTTTTTTGCGTTGGTAATGGATGAGTTAACAAGACATATTCAAGATGATATTCCTTGGTGTATGCTTTTCGCAGATGATATAGTGTTGATAGATGAAACTCAGGAAGGGGTAAATGCAAAGCTTAACCTTTGGAGAGAAGTGTTGGAATCTAAAGGTCTTCGCCTAAGCCGATCAAAGACAGAATATATGGAGTGCAAGTTCAGTGCAAATGGAGGCCAAAACGAGTTAGGGGTGAGGATCGGAGATCAAGAAATACCAAAGAGCGACCGTTTTCGTTACCTAGGATCTATCTTGCAAAAAAGAACGGAGAATTAGATGGAGATCTCAACCATAGAATACAAGCTGGATGGATGAAGTGGAAGAGTGCATCCGGCGTGTTATGTGACCGCCGTATGCCACTGAAGCTTAAGGGAAAATTTTATAGGACGGCAATAAGGCCGGCGATGCTGTATGGCACAGAATGTTGGGCGGTGAAACATCAACACGTACACAAAATGGGTGTAGCAGAGATGAGGATGCTTCGTTGGATGTGTGGGCACACAAGAAAGGATAAGATTAGGAATGAGGATATCCGGGGTAAAGTAGGAGTAGCCGAAATTGAAGGAAAGATGAGAGAAAATCGGTTACGGTGGTTTGGACATGTGCAAAGAAGGCCTACTGACGCTCCGATTAGAAGATGCGACGATGGGACAGAGGTTCAGGGCCGAAGGGGTAGAGGAAGACCTAGGAAAACTTTGGAAGAGACTCTAAGAAAAGACTTAAGAGTACTTGGATCTAACGAAGGACATGACACAGGATCGAGCACAATGGCGTTCTAAGATTCATATAGCCGATCCCACTCAGTGACTTGGATTTTCCAAGTCTCCAACCGAGAAGTTTTTCCTCACTCGGAAAATTAAGGGAACACTACCCCAACCTACATGCTCCACTCAGAAAGCTTCAACATACAAGCTTCAACAAAAGAAAATTCAAAGAACTTAGCGAAGAAGGCTTTGGTGTATTTAACACAATACGTTGAAATGAAGGAAAGCTTATTTATTGATATCCCCGATAAGCTACAAATATTGTACATATACATGAGTCAAAATAAAAACACACAAGAGGGAGCCTTCACAAAGGTTGCTTAGGAGAAGTCTCAGCAGTCGGTAGAGCCCCAGAAAGAGAAGGCACCGGAGGGGGATCATTTAGAGCCTCAAGTACTGGACAGAACCCTAGAAGGAGGAGGCATCAGAGGTTGATCATCATTTGGAGCTTCATTACGCGGTACAGCCCCAGAAGACGAAGGCAATAAATGCCTTTGGAACAAACCTACAAATCTCTGATGATCAAGTAAAACCTGACCATCAGTTTCCTTCATCTGGTCAAGCTTCCTCTTCATGTTTGTAGCATAGTCATGTGCGAGCCGGTGCAACTGTTTTATTCTCATGCTTGAGCCCTCTAATCTCCTGTTTGAGACTCATCACTTCAGCCGCCAATGATTCAACTTGGCGGGTTCGAGCAAATAGGCGTTGGGCCATATTAGACACAGAACCTGCACACTGAACACTGAGAGCCAGCGAATCCTTAACAGCTAACTCATCAGACCGTTTGGAAAGTAGTCTGTTATCTTTTGGGAGTGAGAAGGTTCCTGGCCACCACCGCAGCGGTCATATCATTCTTCATCACAGAATCCCCAACGGTAAGAGGACCAGTAGGGGAGACGAAGGATGGGCGCCATATGTTGTCTGGAGAAGGCGGGGCTGCCTCTTCAACAAGGTTCAAGTCAAAACGACGGTCGGAGGGGCCAGACATTTTCAAAGGTGTTGAAGAGAGAAGAGGTCGGACAAATCAAGATCTTAGAAGTGCAAGAATGAAGCTTCTACTGGTGGAGATTCAAGTGTGCTTTGGAACTTAATGCCAGCCCTTATAAAAATCTGCACTCGACGGAGCTTCAGAAATCGAAGAGGCGCCTGCTCAGAAATCGAAGAGGCGTTTTGCTTTCTCAAAAGCTGGGCTGCTTAGAGATCACGAGGGTTGATCTCAGAAATCTAAGAGGCGTTTGCTTTCTCAAAAGTTGGGCTGCTCAAAGACCACGAAGGCTGGTCTCAGAAATTGAAGAGGCGCTCGCTTTCTCAAAAGCTGGGGCTCCCCCAGAGACCACGAGGGCCGATCTCAGAAATCGAAGAGGCACCTACTTTTTCCAGCCTTGTCAGCACCTGTCACGCGGCACACTCAGCTTTGCGGAAATTATGGGCATTCTGTCGAAGACTTTCTGGGGAAGTAGAAAACACATGAATCTTACTGTTCAATCACCCACTTCCCACACGCAACAATAGCTCATGGGGTACCACAGAAAAACTTTGCCAAAGTTCTCTGCCAAAGTTGAGCACGTGAAGCTTGCAGCTCCCACTACATCGCTCTGACCAAGAAGGGTAAAAGAATAGCAAAGAAACAGCACTAACAAAGTTTAGACCCATAAATTTTGAAGGTCTAGCTACCATATTATTACCCACAAGGGTAAAGGAACAGTACCACTGCTGGATAATTGGAAAGTCCCTGTGTGTCAACCTCTGTGCTTCGTGGCAAGGTAGACTAGCAAACATGCCCAACCTTTACTCACATTCGAGAAAAAACACTCCCAACAAGATTGCTTGCTCCAAAATCGAAGAGGCACCGTCCTCGAATCTCGAGAGCCAGACTCCCAACATGACTACTTTCTCAAAATCGAAGAGAGGGTAAAAGGAACAGTACCATTGCTGGATAATTGGAAAGTCCCTGTGTATCAACCTTTGTGCTTCGTGGCAAGGTAGACTAGCAAACATGCCCAACCTTTACTCACATTCGAGACAAACACTCCCAACAAGATTGCTTGCTCCAAAATCGAAAGAGGCACCGCCCTCCGAATCTCGAGAGCCAGACTCCCAACATGATTACTTCCTCAAAAATCGAAGAGACACTGCTCTCCGAATCTCGAGAGCCAGACCCCCAGCATGATTGCTTTCTCAAAAATCGAAGAGGCATCGTTCTCCGAATCTCGAGAGCCAGATACCACAGACCACTTTTTCAAAGTGCTCTGACAGAGTTAAAACATGTGAAACTGACAGCTCCCACTACCGTGCTATGACCAAGCAGGGTAAAGGAATAGCATTACTACTTGTTAGGGAGACTCCTATATATGTCAACCTCCATCCCCAACGGACAGGCAGACCTGCAAAAAATGCTCAACCCTTCATCATATCTGAGAGGGCACTCCCAACGAAGCCTTTCGAAATATTCAGCTTTCTTTCCCCCCGATAATACCTCTGCAAACAAGCCTATACTAGAGCAAGAATATCTCATATCATCAGGGTTAAAAGCAAGAGTATCCCATATCATGCTTTTTTCCCTGTCTTTTCCTTTGGCCTTGTTTTTACCTGCAAGACAAGGAGAAAGAGAGAGCAATCAGTCAGCACTTGGAATCAAGCTTCCAGCCAAGAACTGACTGCCTGGAACCCCTTACCTGATTACTTACCTGGCATTGCTCTCGAGTACTCATCTTCAACATCTTATGTTTCCAGGGAAGATTCTGCATCTGCTTGAGGAACAGATAGGGCAAGTGCGAAGGATACAAGGAAGCATGTGGAGACAAGCGTAACAGCACACGTGCCGATACATCCATTACTCTGTCAAAAGCAAAAGTATCCCATATCAGCAGGGTGGAACGTATTCTAGATTTGATGGACTTGTTTTGACCCTCAAATTCTTCAGTCGGCCTTATACTCTGGAGGAAACCAGAAAACCCTCCAGCCTCAGTTCAAGAATAAGCCTGTGGAAAGTTACTTCTTCAAAAGCAAAAGTATCTCATATCATCTCTTCTCATTTTTCTTCTCTTTATCCTTCATGCTGCTGCAAGATGGGGAGAAGGTGAACAATCAGTCGGAGCTCTGATTGCTTACCTTGTCTGTCACCTCTTTCAGCAGACCCCCTAGCTCGGCGACTTGGGGGACTCCTACTACATGGTTTGTATCGCGCTTGACCAAGCCTGAAACTACAAGTAAGCTTCAAGTGAAATTGATACATTACCTTGTGCATCTCCACCAGTTAAAGATACCACCCCTGGATGGAGGAAGAGTACTTCCAGAGAAGATGCCACATCTACCTATGAGACAGATAAGGCAAGTCAAGACGACTCCACACTCCGATACTTAGAAGTTTCGTGATTACGAGATCATTCTCCCACAATATTTCTTAATGTCATTTGTACTAAATCATTCACTTGTACTCACTAAAGGAGAGCTTGAACCTATGTACTTGTGTAAACCCTTCACAATTAATGAGAACTCTTCTATTCCGTGGACGTAAGCCAATATATGGGTGAACCACGTACATCTTGTGTTTGCTTTCCTATCTCTATCCATTTATATACTTATCCACACTAATGACCGGAGCAATCTAGCGAAGATCACAAAAAGCGACCGTTTTCGCTACCTAGGATCTATCTTGCAAAGAGAACGGAGAATTAGATGGAGATCTCAACCATAGAATACGAGCTGGATGGATGAAGTGTTTAGAATGCATCCGGCGTGTTGTGTGACCGTCGTAGGCCACTGAAGCTCAAGGGAAAATTTTATAGGACGGCAATAAGGCCAGCGATGTTGTATGGCACAGAATGTTGGGCGGTGAAGCATCAACACGTACACAAAATGGGTGTAGCGGAGATGAGGATGCTTCGTGGGATGTGTGGGCACACGAGAAAGGATAAGATTGGGAATGAGGATATCCGAGGTAAAGTAGGAGTAGCTGAAATTGTAGGAAAGATGAGAGAAAATCGGCTCCGGTGATTTGGACATGTGCAAAGAAGGCCGAATGACGCTCCGGTTCGAAGATGTGACTACGGGACAGAGGTTCAGGGCCGAAGGGGTAGAGGAAGACCTAGGAAAACTTTGGAAGAGACTCTAAGAAAAGACTTAGAGTACTTGGATCTAACGGAGGACATGACACAAAACCGAGCGCAATGGCGTTCTAGGATTCATATAGCCGACCCCACTTAGTGGGAAAAGGCTTTGTTGTTGTTGTTGTTGTTGTTGTACTTGAAACTTTCAGTAGGGCTGGTTTCCCTGTTTATCCCTCTTTGGAGCTGTTCATCAATGGCGAATGGTTTAGGCTGCCTGAACTTCCAACTTTCAGCTATTACTTTCAAAGTGGAGATGAACCTCACTATCCAAGTCCTTACAACTTCTCTCGTGTAATCGTTTGTACCTTTTCTTTTCCATATTTTTGTTAAAGATTTGTGGTGGAGGTAAATAGACTTGGTGGCTAGCTGCTGCGCCTACAGATTTCAGTGTAAGTAGTTGAACACTTGAGTGTAATTTATTCTTCCTTTATAGATCAATGTAATTCAACTATACAACTTGTCTGTTGCTATGTTATATTGATTGTCCTCAAATTTTCCAACAAAATTCAAAGTTAATTTGACACTTATCTGTATTTAGCACCACTTAATTGTGTTTGGATGAATGCCAGTACATTGCGTTAGTAAACAAGGAGGCTGACAAGGATGCTGACAAGGATGCTGGTTGCTCCTCTACAGATTTCACCACAAATATATATCGATCTTCGGTTGAACACTGATGATTTGTAAATTGTAATTTACCTTCCTTTTCTTTTGCTTTCTTCATTTTGCCTAGTCTATATTTGCATTTATAATATGGGGTATTTTTTAACAGTGGAATCGAGCTGTGCTATGTCTCCCTTGGAGAATTTCAGATCAGGGGAAGTGAGGATCTGTTGGAGACAGTGCTCAAACAACAGCGGCTCTCTTCCACTCACACCATCTGGACTATCAAGTTTGAAATCTGTTGATCAAAACACCACGCACTCTCAGAATTCCTGCCCAGAGAAGGACCTCAGCAGCTCTGCATCATTGATTGTCTTGCATTCCTGCCAGAAGAGGATTTGCCGCCATCTCTTTCTTTTCCATGGACCATCAAAATGTTTGTTCTTCTCTGAACAAGAGGTGTGCAAAGAATATGAATGGAAAAGATTGAGGCAATATACTTCAATTCCTTGCAACTTTCATTGATGGAAATCAAAGTTGGAACTTTGAACCGCTTTTTTTTTTTTTTTTGGTTAATTTTGTACTTAAAACTTTCAGCAGGGCTGGTTTCCCTGTTTATCCCTCTTTGGAGGTGTTCATCAATGGTGAATGGTTTAGGCTGCCTGAACTTCCAACTTTCAGCTATTACTTTCAAAGTGGAGATGACCCTCACTATCCAAGTCCTTTCAACTTCTCTCGTGTAAACGTTTGTACCTTTTCTTTTCCATCTTTTTGTTAAAGATTTGTGGTGGAGGTAGTTTCGAATCGTTTCACTGTGTTTCGCTCAAGTTTTGAGTTTAAACATTGCAGATCAAATTATTTATGAAGCGGGATTTAAAAAAAAATAGATAAGATAATCTGTACTAAATTCATCTAAAATATGGATATAAAAACGGAAATTCAAACGTGGGTGTAAAAGAGAAAGCACATTGTTCTATACTACTTGGTGTAGTAAATTTGTATTATATATTTTTTATCTTATTAAAAAATGGACTAGCTAGTGACTTTGCCATGTCCACCCTTTCGGGGGCTAGGACTCACAGAGGCATTTCAATCTCTCTCGACCACCATCGTATGATTCACCAGCATCAAAAATCGAACTTAGAACATGTCTTGTGAAATATGGATATAAAATTCGTTCCCAACCATTGAGCCACCTTATAATGGTTAAATTTGTGTATACTATACATAATCTTACAATACCCCCATACCAAAATATATACATTTCTAGCTGTCACTTATCATCCTTGAGGATGATGATTGGGAGGTTAAAAGTAAACCGGGCATGGTGCCAAAAAAAGCAGCCGCAAGATGAGATGCTGACCAAATTACTCGGTAGCTCAGGCAATTGCCCTTCTGCCAATGGAACTTGTTACTCTTCTTAACAACAATCAATCTGCTAATTATCTGGCATAACAATTACGACAGAATCCTATACATAAAAAAAAAAAGTTCTGCGCATTTCAGCTACATTTCGGCTTGAAAGGGTGTCACCTGCTCAAGAAACTGTTCACAAATAGACTTTGAAAATCTGCAAGGAGAAACGAAAACCAATTATTACAGTATTTTGGTTTTGATAGGCGGTAACTGAGGGCATTTTACATTTTGCAGAAGGAAAATTGCTCTTTTAACAACGAAACTGCCAGCATAAACGTAGTTTAGGAGACCGAAAGGGAAAAGGAGAAGGCAACATTACCTCTTCTTGACTGAAAGCTCATATTCTAGCTGATTGAAGAATATAACTGAACATAGTTTAGCACATTCCGCTGTTGTTCAATTGATGCTTTCGGGGCAAGAGGACTGCAAATGAGCATATTGGAACTTAGTCCAGCAGTACCTAAACATTGACTAGCCAAAAGGACAAAGCAGTAGCTACTAAGACCATGGCTTTAAACCACAAAAATACCTTCAGATATGCAGCAAAAGCTTTCCGGGGGGAAGATTGTCTCTGGGTCTGCTCTATTCTGGGAAGAAGCAGCGAAAGCCAGGCAGTTTTTACTGTACAAAACAGAACCAATTTAGAGGAGTGCATCCGAGTTGACAGTTCCAAAGGGTACGCAATCTATGCCATTCCTTAAGATACACATCGCTAAGATTATTGGGATGCTCTATAATTTGAAGATCATATTCCATCTATAACAACAATTGAAAAAAAAAAATACCTTGACCACGAAGGAATAAATTTACTATTTGGTATGATACTGTCGTCATCGTCATTCTCATCATCTGATTCTTTGTATGGAGAGATGTCATAAGACTGTTCTTGACTTGTAATGGCAACTGAATTCTTCATTGCTCTGTCTGAATTGCTCAGTACCTTAAATATCACAGGAAATGTCAGCACGAGGCTTTACAAACAAAGTAAAAGTGCACGAAACAAAAGTATGCAGCTCATGCATAAGAAGACTTTCTAACGGTGGTTCATATTTGAGTTTACAATAAGTTACTAGTAGTTTTAACAGAAGATAAGTCTTGCAATTAGACTAGTGTAGCCTTCTTTCCTATATTGCGGTATAAAGATAGCAAAGGGGAAGGCCTCATAATAGTTAAAACCCAACAAGTTTAAAGGTCCTATGCAAACTACAATAACAGAGGATTATAACCATGCTCCAGCCGACACAAGTAAAAGCACTCAACATATGCAAGTAGATCCTAAGATATGGTGGGTATTGGTTGTTAAAAAATCATTTGCATTTACCTCTGCTTTATATCCATAATTACTCGAGGCCTCGTGGAACTCTTCGTGGACAATACTTTCTCTTCCGGCATTGCTTATTGAAATCCTGGAAGTACTAGGCTTAGTCTCCGAAATATTTATGTTATTGTCATATCCCCTTTCTTCCTCCATTTTCTTATTTGCCATTTCATCCTTAGATTCCTTACCCCCAGGGCCTCTTCCATCCTACACAAGACAGCCCAATATACAACGTGATATCTAACATTACAAAAAGATAGACATAATGAAATGAGGCAGACCATAAAGAATCATACAATGGCCTGGGTTTTCATTTCTTTCTCTACCTTTTCTGCAGGTAACTTGTCTTCATGTTCTCTCTTGTTTCTACGTGCTTCAATACGCATTCTTTTTCTTTCCTTCTCCTTCCTTTCTTCCTCTTCCCTTTGTCTCTTCTTTGATGCCATATCAGCCTCTTTTTTCTTCCTCACTTCTTCTTTCCTTTTCTTCTGCAACTCCAACTGCTTCATATTCTCCTGCTCCATTCTTGACCGCTCAAGTTTCAAGGCTTCCTTCTTCATCTTGCGTTCATTCTCTTTCTTTTCTGCCTGACGCTTTGCAGCTTCAGCTGCCTCCAGGGCCTTCACTTTGACGTCCCTCTTCCCTGCAAGAAAACACAAATAGGTCAAAATACTGGATCAAGTCATTGGAGAAAAAAAAAGAAACAAAGAAAAATATCCCAGAATGCTCACAAGAATTCACAAGGATACAATAAAAAAACAAATGAATCACTGTCAAGCTCCGTATGACAAGATGAAGTCACCTATAACATACTTATGGAGGACAATGGGGCAACTCAGCTTTCATGGGACTTTCAAATATGCACTCTAAATTTTACTTGATGATCCCAGACATTCATTGCTAATTTACTACTCCAAATAAAACATTCCCTAATTCAGTAAAAATAAAACCATCATCCATACTGTAACCCAGTTTAGATGTACAATTATGATCCACACTCAGAAAAACAATCACATGGAATATGTACATGTAATGCAAAATCCAAAGTTCAAAGGTTAAGATTACTAGTAAGAAATTACCTGTTACAACTGCAGCTGCTTGTTTCTGTTGAACAAGTGGAATGAAAGAAGTCATGCTGGACACAATATTGTTATGCTTCGGCTCCTGCTCTGATAAACTTGAACCACCTTTTCTCAAACTGGTTTTCCCAGATAATTTTGGTTTACTGAACCTTTTATGAAGTGATCTAGTGGTCCCCTTAATATCATTTGTTCCTTGTGACATGCTCAGGTTCTCCTTATTGTTATATCTTCTCTTGCTTCTGTTTTGGATTCCAAGCCTCTGTTTGAAGCTCTTATGAGTGCCTGTTAAGCTGAATTCAGTGTTCACGGAATCTAGACTAAGTCTATCTGCATATGGTTCAGCTTTAGAAACTGATGCTGGAGGGTTTGGAATCTCAGTAATGTCAGCAAGTGGTACTCTTTGTATTGACCTATTTAATGCATTTGAAACACTTTCATCTTGGAAAGTATCAGCTGCCTCATCTGCATTCTCATTTTCTTCACTAATGCAGGGAAGCTCCAGATTTAAGCTTCCTCGCTTCCTTGAACTGCTAGTCCTTGAACCAGTTATATCCCAGAGTTTCCCAACTGGAGACAGATAAGGTTTCTTAGTATCCCAACCAGATTGACCACCATGATTTAAGAGGCAATCAGAATAGGACCTTCCATAAAACGCCTGGCCAACTTCCTCACTCGAGTAACTATGACCATCCTTTAATTGTTTGACAGCATCATTCATGGTCCTCATATCCACACCCTCTAGAAGCCCAGTTGGAACGGATTGGTAGAGATATGGAATTTTGTGCAACTTATTTGAAGCTGAAGAGCACGCTACTGGAGTTTGCATGCAAGCAGATTGGCACAGCTGCTCCAGAATGCTGGCATGTTCAATTGTAGTGCTTGGAAGGTTCCACTCGTCAAAGCTAATTCCCTTTCCAGCAATGCTTGTTGGTTCATCATCTGTTTGCATAACGAACCCCTCAAGCTCAGGCTTTCTATCATCCAAATCAATCAAATCCAAGGATTGGCCATGTGGAGATCCAAAATTGCTGGTCCCTCCAAGATCAAATCTCATTTCCTGCATTGCTCTTCCAGCGCAAGTCAAATGTTCAGCATTTCCTGTGGTAAGATTATCCTCACTAGTTAGTGAAACAGTAGTCTCTTCCATGCACTGACTTCCTGAGTCAATAATAATGCTTGGCGGATGTGCTACTCCTGTTTCCTCCATCATACCAGTTTGCTTCATCAAACTTAGGATTGAAGCTTCAAATTCTCTATCCGTGAAAATGAAAGGTGCATTACCACTTGTATCCCCGCATCCCAAGCTGATTCTACCCTGTCAGACACAATCTTATGCATTAGAAAAGATCAAATAAAAGTAGACAAGCAACCTGTCTGATATAAGAAAACAAGTATGTGAAAAATCTCAAATAAAACAAGTCTACAAAATAGAATAACATAGATGTAAGGGCCATAGCTTAGCCAAGAGAGAGAGAGGGATCACTGCACAGCAAAAAAGTAATTACCTCTGTCATCTGTGCCTTAGGTGAAGATTCAGACCACTCTATCATGTGGTGATCCTCATTTTGATGTGTTTCTTCAACTGAGCTTCTGCTGATGATTGATTTTACAACATCCTCCCAAGGAATTGAAAGCCCTTGAGATTCTAGTACAGCCTTTGGACTATCTTCTACGCTTCCCAAGTTCCCACACATAGATTCTCTATTGACAGTGTAAAAACCCCGTTCTCTCAAGCCCAAGGAAGTAGACTGGTCATCAACTGTTTTATGCTCAATCTTTCTTCGTTTATGCTGAGGGCATGAACCCTCCGTAATGAAGTGAACTCTTGCCTTTGCTTCCTTCTTTTGAAAACAGTCAGTAGTGATATGAGAGTAACCAATTCCAAGGATTGATTTGCAGGGTTAGACAGCCGAGGTGATATGCCAACAGAACCAATTCTTCTGGCATTACTGGCTGAGCCACTAACATTCAAAGAGCTCTCCTGTTGGTCAGATATTCTAGATTTTGTAATTCTACCAGAGGAGAGAGCAATGCTTCTTTCCTTGCTTTGAAATTCGCCTATTTTTCCCTCTTCCACTTCACAAGGACTTGTATCAGTAGGTTTGACTACGTTCAGTTCATCACTATATTCACCCTATCAAACACAATCTTATACATTATAAAAGACCAAATAAAAGTAGACAAGCAATTTGACGAGAACAATTAAACAGAAAATCTCAAATAAAACAAGACTGTCATATAGAATAACATAGATGTGAGGGCCACCACTTAGCCAAGAGAGAGCGAGAGAGCTCACTGCATAACAGAAAATTAAGTACCTCTTTAATCTGTGCCTTAGGTGAAGATTCAGAGCTCTCTATCATGTGGCAGTCCTCATTTTGAGTCATTTCTTCAACAGGACTTCTACTGACAATTGATTTTGCAACATCCACCCGAGAAAGTGAAAGGCCTTGAGATTCTAGTATGGCCTTTGGACTATGTTCTACACTTCCCATGGCTCCACACCGAGAGTCTCTATTGCCACTTTCTAGCAACGTATTAGCAACTGCATCATTATGAACATCAGATGTCTCCATTACTGATGAAACAGCATTTCCATTCAAGAAACTTCTATCCTCCTCTACAGGAGATTCAGATAAACCACTCTGGAGGTCCTTCCCTTTGATTGAAACTTCCGGATCCCCAAGAAAATTCATTGGCAGGGACAAGTTATGATTTTCTAGATAATTGACAGTCATTCCTTCTTCCTGTATATCATCAGCGTCCATCAAGGAAATATACCTTTTCTCTGGTGATCTTCCCTGCATTCCCTCTTTAAAAGCAAGAGTATAACTTCCATTCCTACAGGATTCTTCCACATCATCAAAATTAAGTTGCTTGGGATTCACAAACACATTACAATCAGCAGGCTGCCTTGAGGCTAAAACTTCCACTCCAACTCTAACCCCAGTACCATCCAATTTTGATCCAGAACCTTCAACAGATACACCAGGATCAATTTCAGTTTCTCCACCAGTTACAGCTTTAACAAATTCACAGGTTTGAGTACAAGGTACCTCTTTGTACTGTGTACCCCTGTGAGTCATTTTTTCTGACAAATGCGTGCTTGAAGCAGCGAATCTGGACTGTGTACTCCTGTGAACCAAAGCCTGTGAATTGACCGGTTCTGACATTCCTTCAGTAGTACAATTAGTTTCTGCACTTGTCTTTGTACCAGCATAGTGATCTGCATCATTTTCCTTGTCTGAAGAATCTGTTGAATTCTCTGCACACAGGTCTATATCACATTGAATTGGAACAGACCTTCCAGCAGATATTAAAGTTCTCTGTGAATTGTGAGACTTATTAGATGAAGACGATGTTGACTGATTAATTCTTTGACCAGATATATTGGTGATAGCGTCTTTCGCTATTTTTTCAGTAATATGCACAGCTTGTGACCCAGTACTTAAAGGCTGAGGTGGTTGTGTTGACTTACCAGTGGAAAGATGGATTGTACTGCCATCACCCTTAACAGAAATACAGGAAGTATCTACCTTCGGATAATTGTTAACGTCATTTGGGTTCTGGGATGAACTTCTGGATCTTGTTATTCTGCCACTGTAATCACTGGTTACCTTGCTCCAGCTCTCCCCTACTTTTGTTTTCGCTTCACAATTTCCATCAACAATATCACAAGATTTCACCACTTCCACCATTTCATCAAAATGTTTCGGTTGTAGCAATGAATTTCTGACACCAACTTCACTTATGCTGTTAGATGATTGCTCCAACTTGGACAATTCATCAAGACAATTAGGTTCTTGGCTAGCACTTCTAGATCTTGTTGTTCTCCCAGAGTATTCGCTGCGTCCCTTTTCCATGATAAAATGTTCACCTACTTTTGCTTCATTCTCTTGGCCACTATCATTAGTGATATAAGAGTAATTAACCAATTCCAAGGGTTTATTTACATTTTTGGACTGCTGAGGTGATATGCCTCTAGAATCTGCAAGTGCACCGCCAAGTTTCCTGTCAATACAAACCGAGCCACTGACATTCAAAGAGCTCTCCTGATGACCAGAGCTTCTAGATCGTGTAATTCTACCAGAGGAGATGGTAGTACCTCTTTCCTTGCTTTGAAACTCCCTTATTTTTGCTTCTTCTACTTCACAAGCATAATCACTTGTATCAGGAGGTTTGACTAAGTTCAGTTCATCAACATGGTCAGACCGTAGGGAAGATATTGCACGCCCAATTGTTCCACTAGCATGCCCGATACCATTGTTCTTATCTTGTGAAAAGCTTTTTTTGGCACTTTTGCGAATTTCCAGAGCTTTTTGTCTGGATTTGGATCTCTGAACTCTAGCCAGTGATAGAGCTGGGTCATGGTAAATGTCAGAGGTTCTTGTATCCCTTTGATCTTCAGGAGATGTATTACCCAGATCCTCTTTTCTCTGATCTTGAGGAACACCGTTGTAGGGACATCCAGCATTACTAACAGGGCTCTGTGGCAAAATTAATACCCCATCTTCTGCACCTCTAGCCGGTGATAGAGCTAGATCATGGTAAATGTCTCTGATTCTTGCATCCCTCACATCTCTTGGAGATGTAACACTAGGATCCTCTTCTCTCTCCCCTTGAGGAACGCTGTTGGATACACACCCAGCATTACTTACAGAACACTGTGGCAAAACCAACCCCTTATCCCCAGCGCCAAAACCTTTGTCCAAAACATGAAGTTCAGTGCACAAACCATTTGGTAGCTCCCCAGTGAGAGTCGTGGGAGCTGGCTTGTCAAATACAGAACAATGGCTACTAATAGGGATCACAGGCAGCGCTCGAGGGAGTGGAACTCCAGAATTCAACTTTTGTTTGTTCAACACTGTAATGAACAAATCAAAAGATAATTAATTCATGCACATAAGCACAAGAACACTGTACATGCATAGCTACAACACATACAGCATACAGATGTGTGTTTGTTATATTACTCGTATAATAGTCAGTTGATGCATCGTTCGAATGGCAAATGTATCCCAAATAAAAAACTTTATAAGCAGCCAATCAGAGTATCTAACGCTCCAAATTACACGAATACATACGGACCACCAAAGTTCCATTTCTTCGTCATCTAAGAGCGTAATACCCACTAAAACCGAAACAAAATAGCAAATATTTCAGTCCAAAGCAACAAACTTAACAACGCTATTCAAACGATGCCCTCAACAAGTTCACAAATACATAATGCAATGTGCAAAACCTAGGTTTCGCTTCTTCCTCATCTAAAAACGCAATTCCCCACAAAACCTAAACAAAACAGCAAATTTGAAATCGGGCAGCAAAACTCAACATTTTTACCCAAACAAAGTGGAAAACCTAGGGTTTTAGAGAAATGATGAAACGAAAAATCACTCTCAGGGACAGTTCGGTTGAAACTAATACAGAAAAACGCACGACAGAGTTGAACTGACGGAGATTGAAGTCGGAAAGTAGTACCATTGCTGGGTTCGGTGGAGGAGCAAAGCCAGGGAGGAGGGGCAATCCCGTCAATTAGGCATTTGGAGGCGAGGTGTTGCTCGAAGAGGAAGGTCTGCTGCTTTGCTTGGTTGACGATCCATTTCTTCCTGTCGAAGATCTTTACCAACAGCTTCTCCATCGTCGACGATGTCACACTTCGACCATGGATTCAGATTCACCGAGTTGCAGAGAGAGCTAGAGAGAGAGAGAGAGAGATGGGTGTTTTTGGAATGGACGGTGGGAGATGGTTGGCGTATTAGCGCGGCTTGTTTTTTCAAATTTTCGGGGAAAGTGAGGAGTTATGAATTGGGCGGGTTTGGGTTGAACTTACATTTTCAATGGCCCGGCCCAAGAAGTACCCAGAACCCAAGCCCACGACCCGCCTCCGAAACCGCTCCCGGATTTTCCTTCTTGTTTGACTCATCGTCCCCGTCCTCTTCCCCAAACCCTCACTCTCTGTTCGACTGTCAACCAAAACCCTAAAGCCCTCCTACTCCTTATTCCCGGACAAGGCTTCTCTATCTCTGCAACCAAACACCACTCTCCGGTATCATTTCTCAGTCCATCTCCAATGCCGCCGAACGACGACGTTCGGTTCACTTCGTCTCCTTCCGCCAAAGTCCCTCGCTCTCCCGAAAATCGACACGTGGACCTCACAGTTCTGTTCGCGAGGACCAGAAACTCGTTTTCCCAACTCATCGACTCGCTTAGGACTCGTACTTCTTTCCCAAAGTTCCCTCCTTTGCCCATCCTCTGCTCCGCGTCGCTGTCGCTGACTCGGCCAGCCGACTCGTCAGAGTCCGAGTCGCGAAATCGGAATGCGGACCGGGGCCAGTTCGTAGGGAAGTCGCCTCTTTTATGCTCGGCGTCGCTGGCTCTGACTCGGCCGGACGAGTCGATTCAGTCGCAGCAGAAGGGACACGCTTCCAGTCGGCACGATGAGGAGAGGGTTTTGATAAGCGAGGTGCTGGTGAGGAACAAGGACGGGGAGGAGCTGGAAAGGAAGGACCTTGAAATGGAGGCGTTGGCTGCTCTCAAGGCGTGCCGAGCGAACTCGGCGCTAACTGTGCGGGAGGTCCAGGAGGACGTGCATAGGATCATCGATAGTGGCTATTTCTGCTCCTGCATGCCGGTCGCCGTCGATACAAGGGACGGCATCAGATTGATCTTTCAGGTATCAACATTATATCTGCATTGTTGTGGAACTGAAGTTTTCTGTTTTTTGATTCGAATGAAGAACTTCGACCCGCGTTAGTATTTATTAATTAAAATTCGTTTTGCATTCACTTTTCGTTGTCAAATTTATGTTTTGTTTGCTCTGTTATGAACCTATGGTAATTACCAAGCTGCTTATGCATTGTTGCATTAGGATTTAGGGTTGAATCTGTGTGTCTCGTGATCATTTCAGACGTTTCATTCCGCGACTTTAAACTAAATGGAGAGATTTGGCTTCAAGAGAGAAAATTGAAAATGGAGAGTTAGTATTGATCGATTTTTTGTAATTGTTTTGTAGGTGATAAAAACTCATGTCATGATCATGTATCGAAACATGTATCCCTTTGACATAACTATGACTGATAGTTTATATTATTTGGCTGGAGCTAGGTAAAACCAAACCAGGAATTCCAAGGGCTAGTATGTGAAGGGGCAAATGTTCTTCCAGCAAAGTTTCTGAAGGATGCATTCTGTGATGGATATGGTAGGTTTTTCTTCAATGCTCTTACATGGTTACGGGTGTGGGCATGCATACATTATTGAAAGATCATTTGGATCTCTCTGGTGGTGCCACTTTCATGACATGGGGGGCCTATATTGATTTTCGGTTTTGGTGTCAAGTTGTGCAGGAAAAGTTATTAATCTTAAGCGTTTGAATGAAGTAATATCTTCCATCAATGATTGGTACATGGATCGGGGCCTTTTTGCCATGGTTGGTTACTCTATATCAGCTTTCCCATTGATTTGTTATAATTTATTTTTATAGAAAAGGAAGATAAAGGATTAGGCTGTTAATTTTTTTTGTTTATAATTTCAAAATATATAAAGTTGGAGTTAATTTTTCTAGTGCTGTAGAGTGTAGAATTGGTTCAGTGTAGGATTCTAATTTCCCTTATATGTTTGTGATCAAGATTTTTTTTAATAGTTGACATGTGTTTTCTCCATTATATTGTAGGTTTCAGCTGTTGAGATTCTCTCAGGTGGTATTCTTAAGTTACAAGTATCAGAAACTGAGGTGAATAATATCTCCATGCGATTCCTTGACAGGAAGACGTAAGCTCCTGCCTTTATTGAGTTTTCATTTACAGATAACCTTGAAATTTGAAGTTTCATGGGAAGGTGGCAACTACAGCATTTCTTCACTAATTCTTCTCTGCTCTTCTTAGGGGTGAACCAACCATAGGGAAGACAAAGCCCGACACGATACTTCGCCAACTTACTACTAAGAAGGGCCAGGTACTTTTTTACATACACAAAGCAATCATTTTTAATTTGATATTCAGGAACACTGTGTTTTACTTGTCGGGATTTCCTATGTAGGTCTACAGTATGTTACAGGGAAAAAGAGATGTAGAGACTGTATTGACTATGGGACTTATGGAAGATGTTAGCATCATACCCCAACCAGCAGGTGGAAAGAAAATTTTAGTTTTATTATTTTTTAGGCAAGTAATTTTGTTTGAAATTATATATTTCAGAATGTTAGGTGATTTTGAGTTTTCGTAATAATCAGCGCCTAAAATAAATTTGAAGTAGCAATGTGTGGAAACTACTGTTCTCTTGCTTGGATGGGAAGAGTAAATGGATGGAAGAAAGGTGGAAACATCTAGTTCATTTAGCCTTACTTGAAGGATGGAGTACTTTGTAGTTTTAAATAGGAGTTAATGTGCAACAAGCCCTTTAGTTTTTCTATCAACAAGTGGAACTTTTCTGTTAGCGAGGGATAACGGTCTACTGTGATTGTCCTCATTTCGATAGGATTTTGTTAGTCTTGAATCCTAATAGTCCTATCAATGTGGTCATCCGTGGTAGACTGTTATCTCTCAACTTTCAACCCTTTGTAGGACTATTGATGTCCGACATTGGCATTTATGCTTGTGGCCCCATCTATATCCGTGGAAATGATGCTAATTATTTATTCATGTTTTTGTGATGATATTGACTGATTGAATGCGTTTACCAAAACTATTGAATAATTGTAGATGCTGGTAAGGTTGATATCACAATGAATGTTGTTGAGCGGCCAAGTGGAGGGTTTTCTGCTGGTGGTGGTATATCAAGTGGGTAAGTCAAAGTAGTGGAGAATACAAATTGAAATCTTTGAGTTTGTGTTTCAGATTTTATGGTACAAAATATTTAACTTCTATTTATTATTTTCAGAATTACAAGCGGCCCTCTGTCAGGACTCATTGGAAGGTAATCTTACGTGTAGTTTTCCAGTGTTAAATGCTTCGCTCTATGTCCTTTCTCCCTCATGCTCCATTCTTTTGTTCTGTTCCCCAGTTTACATGCTTAATCTTGACGACGTAGTTGGATGAGTTATTCATGATGTGTATGCATTAAATATATTTATCTAACGGAACTTGTCTACAAGCTACATCTATGGCATAAACTATGTGTTTGGCAAATTAAGTTTGGGTTGATTAGATTCTAATTTGACTTTAAACAGAAATTGATAATTATCTAGTTTTGAACCTTTATGGATTGGAGTGTGTTAAGCTTTTAGACTATTGGCATCAGTCTGAAATCCTTTTGTTGACAGACTTTGACATGGGGAAGAGCCTAGGTATTTGAAACTTAAAATGGTAAAGATTTAGGTGAACAAAACTTTTGGACTGATACTTGGAGGGGTATCTGTACAAGATTATGTAGCATCAGAGCTTACTAAAACTGGTTATGATAATTAAGCCTTGTGAGTTGATAGAAATACATCTGTGTGAGTATTTAACAATTTGCCTTTTAACATTTAAATACTTAAAGACTGTCTGGGTGCTTATCAGCCCTAACTGCTTAAAATGCTGGTGCTACATTTTTAACGTTTAAATCCCCTCGTATTATTTATATTCTTTGCTTTTGCAAAAATATTTATTCAAATATCTGATATCCAAGTATTTCTTTTTTTTCTTTTTTATTCAAATATCAATGTTATATGAGTGTCATGTATTTGTACATAAAGATGCATGTGTCATCGTTCAAGTAGTTCTCGCTGGGCCCGTGTCATCTAGTGTTTCATTGGATTCTTAAGACTTAAGTTTTCCATAAGTTTTTTGTTTGTCTTGCAGCTTTGCATATTCTCATAGGAATCTCTTCGGAAGAAACCAAAAGCTACACGTTTCCTTAGAGAGGGGCCAGATAGACTCGATTTTTCGCATAAATTACTCAGATCCATGGATTGCAGGAGATGATAAGCGGACATCCAGGACCATAATGGTTCAGGTGATTTAATGTTAGTTTGTATCAAGTATGATCATCTTATCCTTCTAACAACTTCAAAATTCTCGATTCTTAGACCCTTGTCTGATTCTTCTTATGCTAGAATTCAACAACCCCCGGAACACTTATCCATGGTAACCAACTAAATGGTAGCAACTTGACCATTGGTCGCGTCACAGCGGGTATTGAATTTAGCCGACCAATAAGACCAAAGTTTAGTGGAACAGCTGGGCTTATCTTTCAGGTACTTTTGGGTTTAGCATCGCCCCTGTGGTTAGTTTTTCTGGTTTTCTTGGATGCCTTTTAATACTGGGTGGTAGTTGTAACTTGTGGGGGTTCATTATAAGATTATGTTGACTTGATTGTATTTTATTTATACTTACAATCCCCCTATTCTGGACTATTGTTCCAGCATGCTGGTGCTCGTGACGAGAAAGGAGATCCTATTATCAAGGATGTCTACAGCAGCCCTCTAACTGCAAGGTACGTGAGTCTAAAATCCGATAATTGGAAACTAATCCAGTTTGGTTTCTTTGTTTATATTTCTCTGCGATCCATGTTTCTCATCTGCTGCTCTTTGTTTATCATTTTTGTGTTGTAGTGGCAATACTCATGATGATATGCTCCTTGCTAAACTTGAGAGTGTCTACACGGGTTCTGGTGACCATGGGTCGTCAATGGTTAGTCATCCTCAGTTTTCACAATTTTAACCCCCACTATTTCTCTCTCTGATCTTCCACTGTATTTTGATACCAATTTTGGGTCCTTTGCAGTGTGTTTTCAACGTGGAACAAGGACTTCCTGTTTTGCCTGAATGGTTGTATTTCAACAGAATAAATGCTCGCGCCAGGAAAGACGTAGAACTTGGTCCTACTCGTGTTCTTGTAAGGTACGACCATTCTGTATTTGTCACAGTAGGAGCAATCTATCAGAAAACATATCCTTCCCCCAATACTCCCCCACCTCGCTATTGTAATTGTAGCTTTGAAGTGAAGCTAGTTATATTCTCATTTGGTTTTGACTTTGTTATACTTTGCCCTGCAAGTTTGTCTGGTGGCCATGTGGTTGGTAACTTCCCACCACATGAAGCATTTGGCATCGGTGGAACAAATAGTGTAAGAGGTTACGAAGAAGGTGCTGTGGGCTCTGGGAGATCTTATGCAGTTGGCTCTGGAGAAATTTCTTTTCCAATGGTATGTGGTATAATCGGCCTTACAAAATTCGATACTGTATGCAACTGCCTTCCCCCAATTTTTCATATAAATTTATACACTTGAAGAGAATGATTCCTTGATCCGTCATGATGTCCCGGCCTGTTTTCGCAGATAGGGCCAGTTGGAGGAGTTATTTTTGCTGACTACGGCACTGATCTTGGATCAGGCCCCACCGTGCCTGGTAGGTCTCTCTTTAGTTTAACCTACTGTTCACAATTGGATCCTTGGAACCATTAAAGAACAATCTTATTTCGTGATCGTTGATGCATAAATGTTCAGACTGCTCGCAGGAAATGTTCTTAGAGGTTGTTATATTCTGATTTGGTCAGGTGATCCTGCCGGGGCTCGGCATAAGCCTGGAAGCGGGTACGGATATGGATTTGGCATCAGACTCGACTCACCGCTGGGGCCTCTTCGCCTTGAATACGCATTTAACGATCAGCATGCAAAGAGATTTCACTTTGGGGTCGGACATCGGAACTAGGGGCTTTAGGTTCCATGTCTTCTAATTCTTTTGTTATATATTTGTGTTCAGGTTGCACATGCTGCTTTTCTTCACGCGGTGTTTCAATATTCATCGTATTATTTTCGTGTTTTGCGTTACACTTTACCTCACCAAACAACTGGGAAGTAACTCGTCGGAAAATACGATATAATGGCAGGAAAACTATTAGTATTACTGCGCGCTTCTTAGCTTCCATTGCTTGAAGAATACCAATCATCCATATTGTCCCCTAGGTCAGGTCCGCTTGCAATTGCTAGCAGGTGGCAGATATCAACCAATTTACTCAACCGACGTTGCAAATACTGATGCTAATGATAGCCGCTTTCGCGCACGTGAGTGGCTGTCAGTCGTTATACAAGTGAATTTCGCAATGCATTCTTTAATATGTATGAACGGCTGGCGGTTGCATAAGCAATGTGATTATTGGTAGCATAGCTTGTACGATTCTGTCTCCTAATGCATCGCCTTCCTCCTATATTATTGAAGGTCCCACCATTGAATGCGACTTTGAATGGCATTTATTCATCCTCCCTCTCGACTTGTAATCAAAATGCATGTGGGAACTAGAAAGTAGGATCTAGGTACCAAATTGGACTGTGATGCGGGCAGCCATACGGCTCAGAAATTGCAGCAAATTTGTTTCCCTCCATTTATGTTCCTTTGTACTTGGGACATTAAGATCACTGAAGTTTCTGTTTTATCTGAGAAAAACATTGAACACCTTAATGAACGCATACGCACGTAACTGATGAAATGTGCGTCGAGTGAATCACCTCATCTAATGGGTTCAATCAAAGAGAATCTTATAGCTATGTCACGTGATAAGTGGTATAGATACAAGAGCATATATTTTTGGTGGCACAACAATTCTTTCTCGTCGAATTGGAGCTAATCTTTATATCATTCAATTTCATGTTTTCTACATCAACAAAACGTAAAGGGATGCAACACATTGCATAATCTATTATATATCCATGAAGACATTCAAATTTCTGCAAAATAACAGGTTGGCTTCAATCAAATATCTATTAGAAGTCATCGAGTAAATTGTAGCAATGGTCCCTTAACTTAACTCAATTGGAGAAATGATCCCTCAACTAAAAATCCATTACTACTGGTCCCTCAACTCATCAAAATATGCAGCTATGGTCCCTCAACTAAAAATTCATTACCATTGATCCCTCAACTTTAATCCAACTGGAGAAATGGTCCTCCAACTTTAACCCATTTGAATCAATGGTCCCTCAATTTTAACCCAATTGTGGCTATGATCCTTCCAACATAACTCATTTTGACAAAATTCTGATGAAGTTGACGAAAAATACCATAGCTACATGTTTTGATGAGTTGAGGGGCCCTAATTGTAACAAAGGTCCTTCCAACATAATTTATTTTGACAAAATTCTAACAAAGTTGGTGAAAATGACCATAGCTACACATTTTAATGAGTTGAGGGACCAATGGTAATGGATTTTTAGTTGAGAGACCATTGCTCTAATTTGATTAAAATTGAGGAACCATTACTACAATTTACTCTAAATCATCTCCATGTTTAATTTGATGGCCACAAGTCTCGCTCTTCTGTTTTTGCCATCGATTAGCTAAATTCTTCACCGGTACTTTATATAATATTTGTTTAGGGACAAAAAGACTAGCTATTCTTCTTGCTCGTGGGGTTTTCTACTATATGCTTCGGTTTTGTAGCCCTTAAATTTTGGTTAAGAATCCAATCACCAAATATAATTAGTAAAACTTCTAAGTGTATAAAATGGAGTAGAATTCTATTCCTTCCAAATCTTCGTCTCTATCTTTCTTATTTTATTTGGACGGTTAGGATTAACAATTAAGATTAAGCTACGTCAACATCTTGTTTTAACTTCTTTATAAAGAGAATGACAAAGGAAAGTGTAAGAAAAAAGGAGGGAAAAAAGAGAATTTAGAAGGAAAAAAATCATATTCCGTGTAAAATACATTGTAGCATAGTAAAATTTATGCTTTCTTGTTATACTCATTAATCAATTAATTCACGACAAGAAATTTTGACAAATGCCAATACCATTGTCGGCTCAATACGTAGACAATGTTTAATTGGCCCATACTATGTATTAATGAGGGAGGGAGGGAGGGAGGGAGGGAGGGAACAGTAACGTTGTTGTAGTGTTGTTGTGCATGTAAAAGCATGAAACAAAGATAAGATGAGGACAATGTATCTCTCTCTGTGCTCGTTGGGAGCCAAGTTAGCCGACCATGGCCCGCCCACCAAAGCAAATGCTGGGTTTGGATCCAAACCATTTGTTCCCGGAGCCACAGAAAATTATAATTCAAATAATACCATCGTATCTATCTTCTTTTAAATTAATTAAAAATTATAAGAAAATACATTGCCTAGCTAGCTTCTGTATGCATGCAAATTGCAATGGATGGTTTGTTGTACAATGTACAATCTCTCTCTCTCTCCCTCTCCCTCTCTGCCCTCTCTCTCTTATCAATGGGAGCAGGAGGAATAGGAATATGGGGGACAACTTCCACAACCCTAATTACCAACTTTGTCTTTTGCCTTCTTTTCTTTTCTATCCTTCATCAAAGTTGAGTCTCTTGGGTTGGTGAGGGGTAATTTTCTTCCTTTTATTCATATCAGTATGTACACAAATTGTATACCGTTTGTACACAGTGTCCAATAAGTGACTCGTCCTTTCAAGTCCCAAGATTATCTCTCTTATTCTCTCTCTCTCTCTCTCTCTCTCATCTTAGCATATTTTGTCACTGTTTAGTCACACGTCGTAAGTGATTTCTTGTCTCTCATTTTCACTGAGTTGGGCTTGCTTTATCAACCTTGATTTTTTATGCCTACACACTCGAGAGCAACTTACCACTCAAATTTTCAGATCTACTGTAAGAGTTTGATTCATATACTGAAGAAATATTAAAGAGATTCTTTTAAAAGTGAGAATCTTTATCATTTTATATTTTTTAGCATAATTCTCATACTAACATTATAAAATATTATATCAAAAACATGAAGTGATAAAAAGTCAATTGAGGATCCCACCTTGAGAATGACTCTCTAGTATTTCTCTCACACACTATTAATAGCACACTTACTTTTCTAAAGGATAATGTTAAGGAGACTAAATTTGTTAACAAAATTTTAGAAAAAAAAGGACATGGAAGTTGATGATTGGTTTATTACTTAAGCGTGGATAAATATGTTCATTCATATTGATGACACATCATTTAGTTTGCAAATTTTTTTTTACAAATTTAGTCTCTCTAGCATTACCCATTTTTAAATCATTTTGAGGTCTAACATGTGTCAACAGTACAACACCGTATAGATAAAAATTTACACATTTTTATATTATAAAGACAAAATTTTAAATAATTAGTTTTTCTCTTTTTCCCGTGACATATTAGTTTTTCTCTTTTACCCTCACACCATACTTCTGCTTTTTGAGTTGGTGATCTTGTTCAATAGGTCTCCACTCTCCACCTTATCATTGCCTTTTGGTTCTTTCTCTCTCTTTCTTCTGTGCGTAAACTGTATAGTGTATACTATATTAACCCAATCCCTGCAAAACCAAACCATTCTCTCTCACCATATCATGACAGATCCCTACCCTAATTACTTCAATAATGGTTGGTTTAATATCAACCATGTCCACCACTTCTCTTCCACCTCCACACCTTCCTCTGTTAATCCATATAATTATCACCCTCCTAATTATGGAGATTACCACAATTTCTGCTCATCAAACAACTTGATCAACAATATTAACAATACCCTTTTCACTAATCACCACCACCAATCTTCATCACCTCCCTCTCCTCCTCTAAGAGAAGCCCTTCCACTCCTCAGCCAAAGCCCTTCAAGAAATCACCACCACGAAGACATGCAAGAATCAGCTGCTGCTGATGACCATCAAAGCTTCTTGAGCTCTTCTAGGTCTGATGATATTGTTGATCATCAAGAAGAAGATGATGAAACTGTTACTGTGGCTTTACATTTAGGGCTTCCAAGCAGAACTCTATCTTCAGCTGATTTAATCTCCAGGCTCTCTTCCCCAGAAATCCCATCAGATAAAGAAGCAGATGTGACTGTTGCTTCAGCTGGTTTTGCATCAAACAGGCTCAACAAAGGACAGTACTGGATCCCTACTCCTGCTCAAATTTTAATTGGTCCAACCCAGTTCTCATGCCCTCTTTGCTTCAAGACCTTCAATAGATACAATAACATGCAGGTACAACAATCTATATATATAATTAGCCTTCATATATATCTGAATTGTATGTATTCTGTTCCATGATTTCTTAAGCTAGAGCGAAAGAAAAAGTAGTTTGAAATATTAAATAATAAGAAAGTGTTTACTTTTTGTTTTCCTTCCTCCTCTAGCTAGCTCTGCCATCACTTTCTGCATCTGGTCATTTTCTTTTGATTTTTCAGAGAAAGAGAAAATCCATTCCTATCTATCTTTGTTTTTTGTACACTTTTTTATAGCTTGATTTAATCTTTAACTTTTATTATATGGGTCCTTAGGGTTTCCCTTTTCTTCTCTTCTTCCAACTTTAAATCATTTTACTTTGTTTTGTTTTGTATGTCCAGTTTTGCACTTTATATAATCAGCAATCTTGTTCTATCTTTTTGCATGAATTGTTGTTTTTGGGATTTAAAGAAATAAGAATAAATTAATCTATACCTGGTCCAAAACTGACTCTGGGGATATAACTATGATCAGCTAGCAGTACCCCTCTTTATGTGATTGAACTACACAGCTGGAATTGTGCGTTTTGCACCTTGAAATTTGTGTTTCACACACTGGCAGGTGTGTCAAACCGAAGATATTCCTAGTTCTTCCTGCTTTCAGATGATCCTCCTCATTGCCGAGGAACAAAAAGGGTGGTGTTATACACAAATCCATCTTTACATCTCATATATTCCATTGTTATTTTTTTTTTATATTCATTCAAATCTGACTGCTGAAATTGAAAAGAGTGTATGAAAGGTTATAAGGGGTGTGTAGATAACACCACCCTATCAAAAACAAAATCACCAAATATATCGATGAAAAATCAGTTCTCATATACTACTATTATTTCATTGTTTTGCTGGTCAATTACTATTAATTCTTTGTTTATGAATACACAAAGATTCGGTATTTTTTAGGCTTTTACCTACCTATTTGAATCTCCATCTGTTCTATTTTTTTTCCTTCTGTTTTGGATCATATTTATGCAAGTACATACCATGAACTAGAATGCTAATTTGGAAAGATTAAACCCAAAAAATGATAAATAAATTCAAACTCCAACTTCTATGACATTACATTTACTTTATCTTTTCATTTTCAAACACCTTGACCCATGTATGATGTATGTTTGTCTTATAAAAGCATAAATTACAAGTGATATTCAAAGAAGTCTTAAAAGAATCAACATTTTAAAGACACCCGAATCTTATGCGCAACAAGTCCAACTTGTATGCAAGCAATGCTAATTACTTCAAATTTTCTTCCTGGTGCCTTTTTTAGTTTTCCTTAAGGCAAAAGCTGTACGATATAAATTAACTTTATATATATAGCAGATGAAGTTGTCTTCTAAATGTGCGACATCAAATAATAATGGGAAGTAATTCTCTAATCTACCGTTATTATAGCGGTAAGTGAATGAAATACCACTATTGCATTGAACATAATCGGATGATTTGGTTGCTTAAGTGATATTTCAATCACTTTGAACAATAATAGTGGTAGATTAGAGCATTTTCCAACAACAGTATTGTTTTTTACCTAATTAAATTGTTTATATATGCAGATGCATATGTGGGGGCATGGATCTCAATACAGGAAAGGGCCAGAATCTCTAAGGGGAACACAACCAACAGCCATGCTTAGACTGCCTTGCTATTGCTGTGCGCCAGGTTGCAGAAACAACATTGACCATCCAAGGGCAAAGCCTCTCAAAGACTTCAGAACCCTACAAACCCATTACAAGAGAAAGCATGGGATCAAACCCTTCATGTGTAGAAAATGTGGCAAGGCTTTTGCAGTGAGAGGTGATTGGCGAACCCATGAAAAAAATTGTGGCAAACTTTGGTATTGCACTTGTGGCTCTGATTTCAAGCACAAGAGGTCTCTCAAAGATCATATCAAGGCATTTGGACAAGGCCATGCAGCTTATGGAATTGACTGTTTTGAAGAGGAAGATGATGTAGCTTCTGAAATTGAGGAAAATGACTCCTCCTCCCATTAGTGTGCTTGTTTTTGGTTTTGAAAAACCTTGACGGTACGAGGGGGAGTTTGTGAGCTTGGTTTAAACGTGCTTTTTTTTTTTTTGGTGAATTACAAGCCATAAAACCCTAAAATTTGCTTTTGGAAGCTAAGCTATGTTTATTTTTATTTTTTCCTTCTCTTAGTAGTATTATTGCTTTTTACTTCTGTTTCGTTTACATTTTTAAGACTTCCTTAATTAGCAATGGTTCCTAATAGATGAATGATAAACCAAGTTCCTGTAATTTACTCTCCCTTCTCTTCATGCACACTTTCTTTTTGTATCTGTGCAATGCACAATTATGCATATACATATGAAAATCCCACCTTTATTTTATAATCTGAGAACTGCAAATGTAGTTAAAACTCTTTGGTTGATGATATAAAGCTAGGACTGGCAAGGAGTTGGTAAAACCATTTGAGAAAATAGTGCATAAAAGGCTTAGCAGGCTGAAGTCATAGCTATATATATGCAACTCAGATCCCAACAAGGGTAATCCTCAGAGTTTCTCGTGGATGTACATTAGTCAATACACTGCATTGGTAGACAGTGAAACAGCTATATGCTCTATGTATTGATTACCAAAAAAAAGAACTATGCATTTTATTATTAACTGGAAAAAGTAATAAAAATAAGCTAATAGGATATGAAGTAATTAAAAGTTAATTATATATTCTTCCTTTGGTCTCCTTATAGAATTTTATGGGGTGTAATAAAAAATATAGCTAAACACTCTTTAGCTCACTATACCATTAATACATGAAGTCATCCTAAAAATTTGAGAAATTCGAGTACCCACCGAATTGGTAAGGCAGACGTATCAATCCAACCCATATGATTCATTCATTAAAAAATTTACGAGTGTGAAGACCAGGCAATCTGTATATACCTTAATATATATACTAACCCTAAAAAATGATGAGTTCCTAAAGTTCCAACAATTGAAAGGAGGAGGGATTTCTTATATTTTTCCTTATCTTACATTCAGATTCTTGTTATTGCTGAATATATATGTGGACAAAGTTGCAGAGTTGCAAACATCAGTAATATTCATAAGATCAAGAAGTAATTTTCTATGTATTCATAGGAAGATAGATTAATCATGCATTGCGATCATATGTTTGCTAAACTTTATGTCCTCTCACTCCTCAATTGCTCCTCCTGTAAAAGTCTAATTTTTCGTGTGAAGGACAATAGAAACTATTAGCTAGGTTATATATCCAGTTATTTCTTCTAAAATTAATAATTTAAACAGATATTTGTAACATAAAATGCAACTGGGAGAGGAGGTGTATTAACTATTGACCTGCAAAGACATCACAGCGTAGACTTTACCAGGACTAAATTCAGATCAAATTATTAGGTTCATGGGTGGAGGGAAAGGCTGGAACAAGAGACAGAGAGAAAGGTAGATGTGCTGTTAATTATAAACAGTAGCTTCTTCTTATATCTGTAGCAATATTTTTCATAATTATATAGACTACAGAGGTTGGAAGGGATATAATGGATCTTGTTGGCAGCTTTATGAGTTGTGTGTGAGAGAGAGAGAGAGAGAGAGAGAGAGAGAGAGAGAGAAATATGTGTCTGCAGTCAAAAGAGCTTATAGAAAGAGGCTCCTGAAATGTCATTTCAAGCTGCAAATATAATCAGAGCATGTACTGTTTGGTGGGTTGCCACAATTTGGTGAGCAATATTTTGTCGACACGAATACATTGTTAGTGTAGCAATCTGTACTAATAATAATATGATACAAATTAAATTTTTACTACGTAATATTTAATATTACACGTGATATTACAGTAACAGGACCATAAAAATTGCTCTCTCAACTCAGCTTCACAATTTTATGTCTTCCGCCCTCTCCCTCTTCGAACCGACCGATCTAGATCTTTTTCTAGCTACCTCTCCATCTGCCTTTCACTTTATGATGATGAGGTAAGTTTGCCAGTCTTTTGACAGTTTTTTTTTCTTTTTATCAACTTTTGACAGTTACTACGGTTTCATTGTACCTCTGCGGTGCGGTGATATAACAGAACGTAAATACGTACACCAATTAATATTAATTAGTTATTTAATTATCGATCCGTCGGTGTGATTCTTTTCTTGTTCTTTTTGTTATAAACCCAGTGTTCCGTCAACCCACTGACACAGCAGTAATCACCATTTGCATGCATCAGTAGAACACTCAGACATCATGTTCTTTATTCCATATTCCTATGTCTTGTTTTATATTTGATCAAAAAAATATGTCTTGTTTTATACAACAATTTCTTTTCATATTTACTATTGTTTTCTTTTTTCTTCAAAAACTAAAAAGTTCAGCTCCTCAAAAGGAATAGAAACTTACATGCACCGTGGTAATGCATGTTTTATCTGTTTCTCATATCACGCTAATTAGAGAGTTTAATGAGTATGATTTTGATTATTATATATATGTATATATATTATATCAAATTGTAATTTATATAAAGTTATTGTAAAACACCAAATTATTCTTATTTGTTTTTTCAATATTTGTGTATACATGCACTGGCGGAAAATCTAATGTAACACCACCTCACTATCCCTATAAGGTCAACAACCAATGTGGTTTTAGAATAATTTGCATTGAAGCTATAAACCCTAGTCCCCACCATATGTACAGAAAAATAATAATTGCATATAAGGTAGATGCTAGTCCCATCTAATGTATGATTATGTTATTACTTCCCTCTATATACATTTTTTTACTAAATTTTATTTTTACTAAGAAGAGATGAAAGATTCGAAACTATTACAATAATTTAAGAGAATGAGAATTTCGAACCTAGAGCACATAGGTAGAAGCCTAATAATCTAGTCACTAGGATATTAAACCAAATATGCTTCTCTCGATATATATACATATGCATAAACTTGTTTTCCTTTATTCTTTTTTTCCCTTCTCATTTTTGGCTTTATTTGGAATCAACTGCGGTTTATCAAACTGTCAAATCCCCCAAAGGCTCCACTATGGTTTTAGGTCTCAAAATAAAAGCTACCAAATTTTTTTTCAGGGAGAGAGAGATTGATTGGCTAGGATTCAACCTAATTGAATAAATAGTGATTCATTTTACAAGATGTGAGAGTTCTTTTGGGGATGGATAAACTACTATATATATAGTACTATGTCTTGGACCCTCGGAGGTATATATAATATGTGTATATATACGTATTTGGTTGTAATTAGTGAATCGTACGTCTAAGTACTATTGAACTCACTTTATGTGGTAAGGGATCCCCATGCATAAGCAAGATAGAGATGGGGGCCAAAACTAATCGTCTTTTTACATGTTTATCAGCCAAGTCTTTGAGAAAGAAAAATTGAAAAAATCAACCTAGTTAAAGTTTAGAGAAATCGTACTTTCACATACAACGATTCTTCATAGATATTGCAAACTTGGGTTTTATTTGTTGCCAATATTATATATAGCGCTTAAGGGCTAACTAGTTAATAGCTAAATACGACATTAATTACTTATTTAAGTCTCTTTAACAAAGTAATTATATGATTTAAGCCGTTGTTTTGATCATTTTGACAAAAATTCCCTCAAATTAACTAAATAAATTCATGCACATTATATTAATTTAGCCTACATAGAAGCCAAAATTAGAAGAAAATATGACAAACTGCTATTAAATTAAAAGAAACTTTGTAGACACAGACATAACGTAGAAAGCATAAAAGCAAAGTCGAAGTGATTAAAAAGAGCAGTGACAGCAACAGCAAAGTTGTTGCACTTGCACACTAAATGTTTTTAACTTTTAATGCTTTTTTCTTGCTACACACACAACAGATGCATTGTGTAGGATTTGGATTTAGCTTAGCATACGTGACTATTGGCTATAATTATATGGCAGGTAATGCTAGAGAGACTTCAGATCAAATCTTGTAAATCATATGACGTGATATTGGTGATTGGATTATTATTTAAACATTGATTAACGTGCTTATTTTCTATTTGTAACACATCACACAGTTTATAAATTTGGTATGCCGAGCATTACTCTAGCTATGGCAGCACTATTTTTAGGGTAATTTAACAGAAACCTTACCATTCATGATTCATTAGGAACATCTGAAGGATCCTCCTCCAACTCAGAAGCATAACTATTGCTTACTTGTCATGACCATAAACATTCAATTCCCACATGTTTTAGCAAAGTTTCTCTGTAGGGTATAGTCCAGTATCAACACATATGTTACAAATGTACCACTTTAAGTATAATATTTAAATGTTACCATCTGTCATTCACGTTTGCTTAAGTGACTAAACTATTGATGTTTAAAACAAGATGTAGTAACCACATCAAGTAAGTTATGCAATCTGAAAACTTTTGACAAAAAACTTGATTTAGTTAAATTTACCCTCCTCCTCTGGGTGATCGATTCAAACAGCTTCTGGTATTTTCTTGTCTTTTACTTTTGAGTACCATTGTTTTCTTCAATTTTGCAAATCAATCAAAAGCCAACCATTTGAATTCGAAGGCAAAGACAATACTAAGTGCTTATAAAAACGGTTTCTCATGACAAATGACACCATTTTTTATGCTAAAGGGCACCTAACACCTTAGACTCAATTAAAAACAATAGAACTTCTAATAAGAGGCACTAAATAACTATAAACTTCTAACAAAGGAGAGAGTTATTTTCTCATGTATCCAAAAAACTACATGGTCATGATTCTTACCAATCACAATAAGGTGTTATGAATTTTTATTATTTTTCACTTTTCAGTTTACAGTAACAAATGAAAAAGACGTTACCAAAGTTGTGCGCATAAAAGATTCTCTATTCTAACAAACGACACACAAGTTCATTTGTCTTTAAGACATTTTTTATGAGTGAGCTTTGGTTATTTCTATATGATGTTCCATTACCAATAAAGCTTTTGTCAAAAACTTGATTTTGGTTCCATCCCCACACTCTCCTTTACCTTAATAAAACACCTTTAGTCTTTTCTTCTCTTTTTC